GGAAATAATGAGAAAATGACAAATTTATTCGCGCGGCTGCAGGAAAAGTGGACCGGGGAGCTTTTTACCTGTGCGCTTCAGCCCGCATCCACTGCGGGAGGCTTTTGCTTCAGGGATCAGTCGGAAACGCATGTGTTCTTTGAGAGTTGGAGATTGTTGTGGTGCAAACCTGAACACTAAACTCAAACTAAATGACTTTTATTTTCTTCCAAACATTTATTTTAACTTTTAAATATTACAGTAACATACTATCATGGTTATACATTGCATGTTGATAAGGTTAAGTGTTAACATTCTTAAAGAATATTGAAAGAATGAAAGAGGAAATTGAAAGTCCATTTCTTTCAAACCCCAATTATATTTGCATATTTATATAAACCATAGTATTTTGATAATATGGTTGAAAAATATGTAACATTCTGTAACATTTTTCAAAAACATTTTGATATATTTACATATTTAACATATAATAGTTTAATAATTTTATTAATTTTAATTTTATATAGCATATATTGTAATTCCTATTTAATCTATATTTAATATGATTTAAACATATTTAATAAATACATTTGAAATACTATATAACAAACTTAAAGTATATTTAATATATTTTGATTTTGCTTTCCTGTAAATGCATATCATATTCTTTGTGAATTTATGCTCTTTATTTATAACTGTGCAAACATTTAGTTATGAAGTCAACCATTATTCAGTCTGTTTCCTTTTTTAGCCACAGAGCTTTGTATGTATCTTTCTCTTTTTATTCAAATATTCTTAATAAAAAAAATTCCTGAGAAGTGGGACTAACATGATGTGTGAATTTACAAAATTTTTAAGAATTTTATACAAAATCCTCCAACAAATTAAAACTGATACACATTCTCATACACAGTGCATACTCTTCATTTTATTATATCCAGAATATTACCAAACTGAAAAGTAGTTGCAATGTGGTAGGCAAAAATAATAACTCATTGCATTAATTTGTATTTATTTAATGATACATGAGAATGAAAAAATGCTGTGTTTGGGGTTAGATGTGCTATTGTTTGAGTGAACTGTATGTCAGACCTTTGGTTTTGTCCAGACGACTGTGACCCATTTGTTAGACCAGGATGAAAGAAAAGACCACTGACTCCAATTAAAATCAAATTAAAGCAAGCTTATTATTTCGACCGGCCAAGCTGCCTCTCCCTCCCAAAACAGCTGGAACAAGACAGCAGCCCCAGCTTTCCTGCAGCCCAGTGTTATAGCCCAGAAAGTTACACAAAGGGGGGTTACAGATAACAGAATTCTGACAAGCATAACACTGATGGTAGTTTACATTTTTTGCTGGCCCCAACATCAGAATTTATGAGGACCATTAGCGCCTCAGAGAGGGTCGTTATCTGGCCAGGGAAGGCCAATATTTATGAGGTGTCACTAAAGTTTCAGAGAGGGCTGCTATCTGGTCAGAGAGCCAGGCATGGGTGAGTTCAAGGCACGGGCAGGCATTCCAAGCAGGTTCAGAATTTGCAGTAATTTATAGTAAAGCCGAAATTAGCTTTTCATGGCTTTGTGGCGAGATGGCTCCCAATTTTAAGAAAAGATCAGGTTGGGTCTATCATATTGATTTTAAAAGGTTTATTTCTTGGAAAAAATCTTTGATTATTAAAATTATTTCTGTCTCTTCTACATTCCTGTTGCATGATTTCAATATTTTAAAAAACTATTAGCAGGATTTATCCGGAACTTGTTGAATCATTGCTATTTGTTCACTGGCTGTCATATTTGATTTGCATATTCTTTTTTTTTTAAACTTAATCCTTAATTTCATAACAACTATAAAATGATATAATTTAAAATTCTGGTTTTATGTGTATGGGTGTGTGTAAATACACATACATACATATATACAAGTTCTACTTCTGAAATGAACTTTTGGGGTCCAACATGAGTCTCAGGTGGCATCAGCTGGAAGAAAACATGTAAGCTTTAATATAACAACCATAAAAGAATGTGTCTCATCCTTAATTTTACTGGTTGAAACACTGCTGTCATTGTAGAGGATCTAAGGGGCAATTTTTCTTTCTCCAAAGAGTCATGAGAATGGTTCCAGTTTTTTGTTTGAACATAACTTAAAGAATATCAGCCCATCAAATTCCATACATACATTTTACATACTACCTTCCAGTGATTTCATTACTCCAGACTGAAAATAAAATTTATAGGTCAAGTGACAACGAAAATACCAGACTCTTTGGGAGTATCCTTTTGAAAATCATATTAAAATATTAAAAATTAGAATTTAAAATGCTTCAGAAAACTGTCAAATCTCAAAATTTCCAAAGCTATTCATATGCTCATGCTGTTGCCAAACGGCCTATTGGTCCCATCAAACATTCAAATCTTGAGGATATGAACACCTAACACCCCAGATTAAAACAACAAAAAAAAAACTAAGAGTTTTGATCCCCACCCACCTGATGTTACTCTAGTATTCCCCTAAGGGTACCTTTGATTCCTACCCACCTGATGTTACTCCAGTTTTTCCCTAAGGGTAGCCCTTCCCTTCTCTTCTACAGCTCCCGCTGATTACCCATAGGAGTACTCAGTTCCCAGCCAGCCTCCAGGCAGCATCTGTGCTGCAAGAACCTGGTCCCCCATCTTCTCCTATGGGCCTATAAGAGCCCCCGCCCAGTGCTGGTTGTTTTCTCGGGTCAGCAGCAAGCCCTCATTTGGGCTTTGGCTGGGAGCTCCTGGAGTCCTGCTGAAGGTTGGGCAGTTGGCCCACATGGCAGGTAGACAGAGGAGGGTGCTATTGCTGTTTATTATTATTATTTTCTCTCGATTGCCTCTTTTCTGCAATTTAACTGCCCCCCACCCCCGGCAGTCACTCTGTTGCATCTTTTCTCTGAAGCAGTGTTATACCATTGCTCTTGTCACTTTAATCAAATTCTAAGAGACATAAAACAAGTGGCTTCTACTTTTTTCAGAAAGAAAACAGGACCTAATGCATAGAAGAGAGTTCAGGGCCTTCAGGCTGGTTATTGGCAAGTTGGGATTCTTGTCGTCACTTGTGTTCTTCGTAATTTCTAATGGAGTAGTCTCCTGACCTCCTTACTTTCTACCTATATCACTGCATGAGCTTCCACAAAATCTCACCCAGCAAACCAAACTGCAGGCAAAAACATTAGCACACATTCCTCCTATAATCCTCAGGGAAGTTGAAGTCAGCAAGACTAAGTGACCACAGAGTGGGGAATTCATTCTTTTACCTTTGATCGTGGAAAATGAATTTACTGTAAGAACTTCAATGTTCAGAAGTTTTCCCCAAAGATAAAGCTTCTTAAAAAAATTTTAAAATCAAAAGATCTGAGACAAAAGTTAAGTTGTATTCTGCCCATTTCCCCCAGTTTACTGATAGAATATCCTGCTTTGGGAAGCATCCTTTAAGTCCCTGATCATTCAGTAGTCTAGGTGTTTTGTAACCTACACTTAATAATTTAGTACTGATGGGCTCTGAGGAGCACGCCTGTAATCCCAGTGGTTTGGGAGGCTGAGGCAAGAGGATTGGAAGTTCAAAGGCAGCCTCAGCAACCCTGCCTCAAAAACAAACAAACAAACAAACAAACAAACAAAAAAAAACAGGCTAGGGATATGACTCAGTGGTTATGTGACCCTGGTTTCAATCTCTCATAGTGTGTGTTTTATGAATCTAGCTCTCTTCATTCTTCTTAGCCATATTTATTAGGGTCATTTTTTTCAGTCTTTTTTAAATTGATTTTTTAAAAAAAATAGATTGACAGCAGAATGCACTACAATTCTTATTACACAGATACAGCACAATTTTTTATATCTTTGGTTGTATATAAAGTATGTTGACACCAATTCGTGTCTTCACGCATGTACTTTGGATAATGATGTCTATCACATTCCACCATCCTTGCTAGTCCCCTGCCCCCTCCCTTTCCCTCCCACCCCTCTTCCTTATCTAGAATTCATCTAATCCTCCCATGCTTCCCCTCCCTACCCCACTAGGAGTCAGCCTCCTTATATCAGAGAAAACATTCAGCATTTGTGTTTTTGAGATTGGCTAACTTCAGTCTTTTAAATTACTGTTTGAAAATTACCATTACTACCCATATTCTCTTTCCCTTTCTGTGCACTCATTCCTTGCCATGAACCTCTCTCAGGCAAGGGAATCACATTGTTTTCGAGTTTCTAAAAGGCTAACAGAGGACAAGATATATTTGAAGTTGCTATTTTGCTTTTAGACAGAATACCCTCCCCAGTCCTGGCAATCAGATTATAGGATTCTGTTACTGAAGTAGAAATGAGTGATAGAGATCTGCACTGACATCATTTCCTGGGAAAGAAGAACTGGGGTACTTAAGGTGACACTGATACTGCAGAGAATCCGCCCCCACACACTGCTAAGACCCTGGCCCTGCTCAGAAGAGGCAAGCACCCTGTACTCCTCCAGCGGAGGCCTGAGTGCAGCCTGGTAGTCACAATAGGAGATCACTGTGCATATTTAGAGTCGAGCAGTTGTTAGGGTGATAATACACCTGACACCCTGCTTAAGTGAAGAGGAGTAGGAGAAAAGTGAAGGTTTTGATTTAGAGAAACTTAGTGGAGCTGGGCGCACATCACGGGAAATCCCAGCCACTCTGGAGACTGACAGAGGATGCCTATAAATTCCAGGCTAAACTGGGCAACTTGGTAACGTGCCTCACAATAAGACATGTGGAAAGGACTGGGGGTTTAGCTCAGTGGTGGAGCACTCCTTGGTTCAATCTCCAGTACCAGAAAGAGAAAACAAAAAATAACTCAGTTGAGATCAGGTAATGACCTATAAATACGCAAATGAAGAGATTATAATGTGATTGTACATACATTAAAGCTAAAATATTTTTCTTTCTGAATAATAAGGAGAAAATTTCTACTTAATAAAATTGATGATGTCAGGATTTTCCCACGTGAACGCTTTACCAGTGTTTGAGCAAAGGGCAGACACCATGCTACGGGAAGGACCGATAGTCTCGGGGGCGTGTGTTCCCCCACATCCTGATATTCGAGGCTTCTGGAAGTGTAGGTCTACCGCTCTCATTTTGTCCCCATCTGCGCCACAGATGAGGTGAAAGGGAGCCTGGGAGAGTCCAACGACAGCGTGGAGGATGGCTTCATCTTGGTGGGCTTCTCCGACCGGCCCCAGCTGGAGATGGTGCTCTTCGCGGTGAATCTCCCCCTGTATGTTGTGGCCGTGCTGGGCAACTCCACCATAATCCTCTTGTGTGTACTGGACCCTGGGCTTCACACCCCGATGTACTTCTTCCTGGCCCATCTTTCCTTTCTGGACCTCTGCTTCAGCACCAGCTGCATTCCGCAGATGCTGGTCCACCTCCGCGGCCCGGCCAAGACCATCAGCTTCGCGGGCTGCACCGTGCAACTCAGCTCCTTCCTGACCGTCGGGGGCGTGGAGTGCCTCCTCCTGGCGGTGATGGCCTACGACCGCTACGCCGCCGTCTGCCGGCCGCTGCACTACGCCGTGCTCCTGCGCCCGGGGCTGTGCTGCCGGCTGGTGGCTGCGGCCTGGGGCAGCGGCCTGCTCAACGCCGGCGTCATGTCGCCGCTCACCATGGTCCTCCCGCGATGTGGTCGCCGCAGAGTCCCGCACTTCCTCTGCGAGATGCCGGCGCTCATCAAGATGGCCTGCGCGGACGCGCGGGCGGTGGAGATGCTGGCCTTCGCCTTCGCGGTGCTCATCGTCCTGCTGCCCCTGGCGCTCATCCTGGTGTCCTACGGGCACATCGCGGCGGCGGTGAGGAGGATCCAGTCCGCCGCCGGGCGGTGGAAGGCCTTCAACACCTGCAGCTCGCACCTCGCGGTGGTCTCCCTGTTCTACGGGAGCATCATCTACATGTACATGCAGCCCGGGAACAGCTCCTCCCAGGACCGGGGCAAGTTCGCCACGCTCTTCTACAACCTGGGCGCGCCCGTGCTCAACCCGCTCATCTACGCCCTGAGGAATCAGGAGGTGAGGGCAGCGCTGCGGAAGGCTTCGGGGCGACCGCGATGAGGAGGCGCTGCGCAGCACAAAGTGGTTCCAGATACCTTCCACTCGGCCGGTGAATCAAAGGCACCGGGAATGGAACCCAGGGGCGCTCAAGCACCGAGCCAGTCCCCAGCCCCTTTTATTTTGGGACAGTTCCTCGCTAAATTGCTGAGGCTGGATCTCAACTTGCTATCCTCCTGTCTCCGACCTCCCGATTCTCTGAAATTAGAGAATTTCATACCCGCCTGCTAATGAAGTATATTCAAAGTCATTATGAACCAACTATTTGCTACACACGGTACGCATAAATCTCCACAGAATAATATTTAGTAAAACTCAAGTCCCAGAAGAAATGAAATGACTCTGATATAAATATAAAATGAACATGTATTAAAGATTTATTTCACTCAACGAGGGAACCAGGCAGATGTAATAATAAGTTTCTTTTTTTAAATAAAACGAGACACAGATTTATAAGGAGTGAAGGAATGGTGAAATAAACGTGCAAATGGACACAAATGCTTCCGCCGTGGAGAAAGTCACCACTTCGATTTCTTACAGGACTGCATGAGCACATCACAGACAAGAGACATTTTTCACTGCTACCAGTTATCAATGATTTATAAAGTTGTAAAACACCTGTCACAGATCATTCTGGAGAGGTGCCCTCTGGGGTCTAGACAGTGCACGACGCTCGCAGAAGCTTAGTGGGTGTATCTTATTAATGTCTTAGTAGTAGGTCTACAGCCCTTATTAAAAGGATGTGAGAATCTAAACCACCCCAGGGCACTGACATGACCGAGTGGTGTGGAAGTGGTGTGCAGGCCTGAGCCGCTGAGGTTCTCTGACCAGCGGTGTCCTCTTCTGGAGTGCTCCACGCATGTGCCTTTGACCTGGTGATCAGCCCTAGTCCTGCCAGGGCTTCGCACTTAGTTCACCACTTTAACTTAGCTAGGCATTCAGTATCACCCAAAACTCATCGCCCCACAAAAATCCATTGACTGAATCTTTCCCATGCTTCAACCCATCATTTAATACAGCATTCTTGTAAAACGGTTTGGAATTCTTTGGTATAAAAATGTTGCCTTTCCTTTTTACCTATGGCAATTTTCTATGATGAAATAACAGTTTTTCTAGTTAATATTACATGTATACATTCTGTATGTCTCCTATTAGAGTCCAGATTCCTTGACTGTAAGACCACCTATGTCCTTACTCCTTCTTAGCCTCATTCTGGGTAGTAAGTTGCTATTAAAGTGATTTGTACATAGTATGTGATCAGTAATAGCTTGTGATAATTATAAATTTTAACTGATTTATTATATCCATAAATTATTTTTTTAAATATTTATTTTTTAGGTGTAGATGGACACAACACGATGCCTTTATTTTTATGTGGTGCTGAGGATTGAACCTAGGGTCCCACCTGTGCTAGGCCAGCGCTCTACTGCTGAGCCACAATCCCAGCCCCGATAAATATTTTATTTTTAATTGATGTCACAATTGTCCTTGTTCTTCAACATTATAAGCAAATCTTTTATGATATGCTGTCTCAGTTCAAATCTGTCAAACATTTAAAACTATTTTTTTTTTCAATTCAATGTAAACTCAACCATGAGAGAGAAAAAACAACAACAACAACAACAAAAAAAAACAATCATTGAGGAATCTCTGTTCATGGGTATAAAAAATCATCCTCAGATTTTTGGAACAAAACTTTTTTTAAAAAAATTTTTGTCTGAAATGTGCATCACAAGCCCAGAGGCAGCTATGAATTTTGCTATGGTCTATAGCTGTCCCCACAGAGGAGTCTGGACAACTGTGGTTTGATGTATTCAGGCCCAAGAGAGATTTCTGCCCCCCTCATTAAAATAATTTCCTCCTGGAACTCCTAGTTCATTATTCCTCATTTGTTTTCCATTTCCCATTACTATGTGATCTCATTTCAAATAAGACTTCTGGTAAACAAGAGTGAAATATGTTTGCAAATCACAGATGTTCTGAAAAGCTAGAGTATGGTGTTGGTGAAGGGCACTATAGCCATATAATACCCAGCTTCAGGCAGGGAAGAAATTACTTAACAGATGTGTTATAATGGACAGTAACAGAAGATGCTTTGAATGAGTGTTACTTTTGTTTCTGGTACAGAAGTGCAAGTAACATTTTTCAAGGCACTGGAGATTGAAGTTAGTTGACCCCTAGACTTCTAGTCCTCTATTAGGAAACTACCATAAGAAGTGTAGATTTGGTGACTTCCAAAATAGCTTCAACATTTCTGCTTTTTCCTAATTTATGCAAATACCAATAGTAATTTAATACCTTAAAAAGCACATTTATTTTGCCTATTTTATATTTTATAAAATAGTTATCTTGAAATTATATATTAGGAGAATGTTAAGACTGAGAATCGAAAACAAATGTTTATCTTGCTATTAGAGGCCTAGCATACTAAAATAATTTATAAAGGCCTAACAGAACAATGTGAATGAGTGTCCTATCCACTCTAAAATTGACCCTGCATGGTCTCCTTTCGGTCCTGATGTGCTCAGGTAGATATGTGCTCAGGAGTTTGCTCTGTTCTGCAGAGCCAGAACTTCCTCTGATGGACCTCAGAAGTTTTAAATATCGTCAATAGTGTTTAAAAGGGTAAATTAATTCAATCTGCTGGAGTATTTTATTGTCTGAGGAGTTATTCTTTAAACACTGTCACTATAAAGGAATGGACCAATAATGTGAGAATATCAGCCATAATTAAGAGGCCTGTAAGTCATCTGTTCACAGTCATCCTGTGGAAATTAAATATCACAGTTATATGAATAGTTAAAAGTATATATAGTTAAAAAGTACATATGAATAGTTAAAAGTATAAAAGAGCTTATTTTCCTCTGGTTTCTTGTTAAAAGTGTCAACATTTCCTCTTTATGCTTATGAAGAAAAATTTAAAATTTTGTTTCATCTGTGCAATTGATAGCTTCTGAAATTCCAGAATTGTTTGGCTTTCTTAAAAACAAGAATCTCTCTCTATCTCAGTTTTTTCTACTGTGATTTTTTTACCCCAAAATGTTTGTTACATTTAAAACATAAAGCCAAATACATAGATCCAGATGTATGAACCATATACAAATATTTATACAATCATTATTCAGTTCTACATAAATCCATCTATACATTCTAATTTATCCAGCAACACTATTTTACTCATCCATCTATATATTCTAATTTATCCATCAACACTATGTCTTGAGTAAAATGCAGCATATCTCTAGAAAAGCAAAATTGGTTATCAGTAACACTGTCAAAGTAGATTATTTTCCATTTATCACTTGAAATGGTAGAAGTAGATATTTCCTGAGAATAGGAGAATTGCCAAGAATGAATCCATAATATTTCTTAATACATGCTCTGTAAGAATAATTAATAGATGAGCTTCTGGGCATATCAACACTAAACAAACTGAAGGTTCAGGAAGACATTTTATAAGGTAAACTTCATTCCATGAGGGTTATTTGTTTGGTTTTTTTTTTTTTTTTTTTTTTTTTTGGTTTTAAATGCAAAGAAAGGACTTTATTTTGTCCAACAGCACAGCATTTGCAAGTCTTATTTTCTGTATAGTTAAAATGAGGAATTGTTTGGGGGCTACCTATAACTATTAACAAAAGGAGATATCTGATTTTCAACACTGTATAGGTTATTCCAATAATAACAACAAAAAGAGTGCAGGTCTTCAGGACAGGCAGAAGTTTTGTTTTGCCAGATATGGAATATGTGTGCTGTCACTGAACACAAGAATGCCCTGTCAATTGTGGGGTCATGATGCAATAGTGTCTTCACTGTAGGATGGTCCATCTTACACACTGCCTCAGACTGGGCACAGGACTTCAACACCTGCTCTGGTAACTGGGGACAAGGTACATGCAGACATGGGGTGGCATCATATTTACATGAATGGCTTCTCAGCAGCAACTCAAAGCAAGTCACGTTTCTATAGAAAAGGTCATATATACACTCTGCACTTCAGCCTCTAAATGTGAACCCCCAAACATTCCATTTTCAGTAATCAATGAATTTGGTGAGGGGCACACACCCTCAAATCCTAATTTATCAGAGCAAAACCTCCTCTTTGGCTTCCAAGAGCTGGTCATGGGATTCTTCTTGCTGCAGCAACTTATGCAGATTCATGATGATTCTTTCAATGTTGAGGGCGTGCACAGCACGTGTGGGCATGACTTCCCCGTGTGCCTGCAAGGTCTCAAGGAGGTCATTCATGTTCACTGGAGGTAAGGCGCATGCAGAGCATCCCTGAAGCAGGCCACCAGGGGCTAGGCTTGCCGTTCCCACAGCACCGAGGAGGTGCACAGCCAGGTTCTGACCCCCACAGGGGGCAGATGCAGCTGGAGGACTTTAGATTATAGTATTGCAAGCCACCACATTGTTCTTCAGACAAGGCTGTGGGGTCATTACTGCTGAAGGCATATTTAAAATGTCCATCTTGCCACCAAAGGCCTTTCCTTGAGGATACCACTGATGACAGTCTCCAAGTTGGCTCTCCACTATGTAGACCACAGCTGAAATGGTGTCCTGTGCCGTGTCCTCCAGCCCATGCCTATAGATGGCCTCTGTCATCCTCCTTGGAGCTGACTATGGGTGGGAACAAAGTTTCAAGTTGTTGGCATCTTGAGGATCCTTTGCCACGAATTGCTGTGCTCCAGAGAGGGGATTCTGGGGCTGTAATCCACCATGAACTGCTGACGAACAGAAGAAAGCTTTAAACTGCCCTTGGCTTCCCAGGTTTGGCTGCAGAACCACCTGTCCAGTGCAAAGACCCAGCACCCTCTCGCATGGAAACCCAGGTCTGATGGCTAGTGAGAATGGCAGGAGAAACTCGTGGCCAGGATGCACATTATCCTATGCAGAAAGTTGATGCGCTTCACAGTCACATTCTTCCTTGCTGATCTGCTGCTTGGCCCACAACTTTAAGTTATCCTAGTTCTGCTGAACGTTGTCCCCCTAGAGCCACTCGGCTG